AATTCTAACAACGTTTTCATATAATATTCTTACAAATTTAATATAACTTACAATAACTTGAAAACTTAAAATACAATTTCATACAACTCAACATATAATTATAATACAACTTTTAATACAATGTGGTACCACTTTATATAAACTTGTTGCTAAGATTTCTCAATAATAAGAAACTCAAAATAGTGGTTGATTTTGTTATTGGCCTTTCACAACATAGAGGGGGACATTACATTAGATAATGTGATTATTATTAGACCATCTCCAACCCCACTCTATTTTACTCTTCATTCTCTATATTTGGAGAGTAAAATAGGGAATGAGCTCTCCAATCACTCTTTAAATAACTCTCTATTCTCCATTTATAGAGAGGTGAATAGTAGTTCTCCAATTTGGAGAATTACTATTCACCTCTCTATTTCACTTTTTTTATTATTTTATTATTATTTCTATTTTGTAGTTAACATATTATTTTCCATATAAGACCATTAGTTAAATCTCTAATATTAATAATTCATTTTAAATGTAATATAACATTTTAAAAGATATATTATTTAATATATACTACTTTCATCTCGAATTAATAATGTTTCAATTTTTTAAATTTTCCTCACTTTAATATAGTTTGATTTCATTATTAATTTTCACTATGAAGAATGCACAAAATTAAAATGATAAGATGAAAATTTTAATTTAAAAATACAATACATGCCATAATAATTTAAATACAAGATAACAATACATAACATAATAATTTTATCACAACGATAATTTAGTAATCCTGTAGGTCATTTTTCAGATTTAACAACATTCGGAAAAAAATAGTGTATGATCCACATAATTAGTGTAGTTGTGATTGCGGTTGTGCTTGTTGATTTATTTTTTCAATTATTCGTAGTTGTTCTTGTTGGATGAAAATCTCTGATTTGAACAATCTTTAGCTAGACATAAAATAATTAAGGATAAAAATGCTCATTTTGAAGTCCGTAATGCATTAATAGAGCATTTATGGGAGCAATGCAATAATCTTGAAAGTAGAGTATTTATGTAATTATATTTTATTAATAATTATACTTTTATTTGAATTGTCTATTAATTTGTATATTATTTAATATTAACTAGAAATTTATATTATTTATAAATTTAGGAAAAAATAAAATTTTATATTAAGTATAGAATTTGAAAAAATAAAATTTTATATTACATCAAAATTATATGAAGTGATTATTTGGAAAAAAGGAAATAAAGGGGGTATATTATGAAATAAGAAAATAAGAATGAAATAGAAATAATAATATAATATTGAGGAGAGAGAAAAATATTCTTGTTTAGAGAGTAAAATAGAGAATTGGATTGGAGTTGGTTGTCTGAAAAAATAGATAACTCTATTTTTGGAGAGTAAAGTAGAGATTAGGGTTGGAGATGGACGTGTTCTTGGTTCAGTTTGGATTGTTTATTTGTTAAAATAAAAATCAAATCAATCTAGTCGGTTTTAAAATTTCTAAAAGGAAACCAAATCAAACAAAAAAAATAATCGTCGATTTGGTTCGGCTTGGTTCGTGTTTTTCTGATTTTTTCGGTTTGGAAGTAATATTTTTCTTGAGGATATGTGTATCTCGATAGACACAGACACCTAATCCATGAACAATCCATAGGAAAGTTACCGTGGATTGAATTAAGTAATTAAGCAATATAGTACAATTATTATTATCTGAACAAAGTGATTTAATTAAGAGAAAGTGTGACTATCTTATGCGAGGTCGGATAGGTAAAGACTAAAGTAATGGATTTTGATGGACTTGAAATTAGGGTTGTAATGGTTGAGCTAAAATTACCTAACTACACATCTTATTTTACTATAATCTCTAAAATTTCCTACCATTTTTTAAAAAAAATTAAAAATTCCCTCTCGGATACATCACTCCCCTCCCACTGATACATTCTTATCTCCCTCTCGAATACCTCCCTCCCCTCTCTGATACATCTCTCCCCTATGTATTTGGATGTCTACTGATGTATCCGGAAGACCAGTGATGTATTCGGAAGTCTAGTGATGTATCCAGAATTCATAAATTTTAAGGGATTCTTGTAATTTGGAAAATAGTAGGAAAATCATGTAATTATCTCTTAACACTATGAGATTTATGCAAATTATACTAAAATTTAAGTATTGGGCTTGAGAAAACGGTAAAGTTAAAAATTTAAGTTAATTAAAATTTAACAAAATATTTATATTTTATTTATGAATAATATATAAATAATTATAAAAGCAATATATATAATTTCTCGGTTCAATTTGGTTATTTTTTTGATTTTTTTTAGTAAAATCAAAACCAAACCAAATAGTATCGATTTTCAAAATTTAAAATCAAACAAAACCAAAACAAACCAAATATCAATTTTCTAACCGATTTGATTTAAATTGCACATAAAATAATTAATCCCAACTTAAATAGCACAGATATAATATCTAATTGCATTTTATATAGGGGTGGGGGTTGGGGGTTGGACATTGGCCTCTGAATAAGGATATAGCTAACTTTTAAATACTAACTCAACTTTAATTTATGTGGCTTACATTTTTTTATTTGTTTAAAACAAATAAAGGAAGGATTTTAAAATTCTTGGTGACAAGTCGTAACATGTGTTTCTCATTAAAAATAACATTTTAAATATAAAATATAAAAAAAAAATTAACTAACTAGTATAAAATCGATATCCTAGAAATTAAAGCAGAAAAAGTAATTAAAGAAGCAACCTCTCTTAAATTAAAATTTATTAGATATTACTTGATCAATAATCCAATATGCTACTTCCTTAGTTTATCTTTATTCATTCATACTTTATTTTATACACATCTTTTAAGAAATAATAAATATAATTATATTTTTTTTATATTATTCTTCTTAATTACGAGGGGATATTTATTGCCAATGAAATCTATATTATATATAAAATATACAATATTTTCTTAACTAACTAATATAAAATTGATATCACAGAAATTAAAGCTGAAAAAGTAATTAAAGAAGCAAACTTTCTTAAACTAAAAAGGCCAAACACATATGTAGACCCTTAAATTTATCCCTAAATTTCATTTTGACACTCCAACTCAACCTTGTTTCATTTTAACCCTTCAACTCCAATTTTTATGTTCCATTTTGACACTTCTAAGTGATGTGCCAGAGTGTGTGCACCACACTTTCTCTAAGAGAATGAAAGACAAAAAAAAAAGTATTTTTTAAAAAAATAATAAAAGATTATCCTTCAACTCTATTTTTTTTATGTATCATTTGACACAAAATACTAATTTTATGATTTCTTTATTTCTATATATGTTATTCAGGTGCAATTTTGCATTTTAAAAATCGGCATTCATCCGTTAGTTATTGTAAAAAAATAAAATTGACGGATGATCATTGATGTTTTATTAAAAAGTAACAATTTCTTTTTAAAAGTTTTTCCTATATTTTTGCGTGAAAAATAACCAACGAAAGTGCGTCGATTTTCTTTCTTAAGAAAATCAATGACAACCCAACAAAGTCTATCGAGTTTCAACATTTTTTTGTAGTGTTATTAATTAGCAATGAACATGAGCTTTTTTTACTCGTATTTAGTTGAATGAAAAATTGGAAAGCTGATATTTGAGTTAGTCCAAATAGACTAGATATGAAAATAAACATGTGGTGTTATTTAATATAATTAATTGTTTTTAAAAAAATAACACTTTCGTCGATTATTTTTTCACACAATAATGTACTGAAACTCTAAAAAAATATTACTTTTAAAAAAAATGATGTTCATCCATTTTTTTTTTTAGGGAAAAGGGTTAAAAATGCCCTTAACGTATCCCAAATGGTTCAAAAATGCCCTCCTTCCACCTTTTGGTTTAAAAATGCCCTCAACGTTTTTTTAAGGTTTAAAATTGCCCTTTTTTAACAGCCGGCTGACATGGCAAATGCTGAGTCATTAAATTAGACAAATGGCTTCATCTTATTGGTCCACCTATTTGTTTAAATCCATCCCAACGACCCGACCCATCTATGCTAAAAAAGACAAAAACCCACCCACAAACCCATTTACACATTAACCTAACATATCCTTGAACTCCATTTTAGCACGATTCTCAGCCATTTTTTTTGTAGCAGCCGCCGAGGATGAAGGTTTAGGGTTGCAAATCACAACACCTTCTAGTTATGTTCTTCAGATGATACTTTTTTGTTTCTTCAATTTTTCGCTCAGTTGATTTCATTACTCTGCGACTAAGGTAATGTTTTCCTCTTTTACATTACAGAGTATATGTTAAAAATCATGTATTTTGAATCTTTTCATGCTTTGTTTACGTTGTGTTAGTTGCAGTGGTCCATGTCCCTTTTCTTTTATTTGTCTCTGTTTTCATTAATTTAGAGTTTTTAACTGCTAGTGGGGGTCCATGTCTTTTCTCGATTATATGCTTTATTTATACGTATTATATTTTATATTTTATTACACTGAGTATTGTCTGATGTGGGCTCTCTCCTTTTTTTGTTGTGATGCATATTGACTCGATTCAAGAATGGTTGAACATGTTGATCTGATTTTTAATTATGGGGGACAATGGTTTCGAAAACCACAACTGGTATACCATAAAAAATTGATTCACCTATGGAGAGGTTACGAAGTTGACTTGTTGTCTTACATTGATGTCTGTCGAGAATTTAAAGAAAAATTAGCTTTTAGTGAAGTACAACAGCTTCTATTTACAGCCCCATCTGGTGGTTTCTATGTGATCGAGGGGGATGAAGGCATTAGAACTCTTCAGAATTTATTATCTGACAATTTCAAGGTAGTGAACTTTTTTGCAGTAGATAACTATGAAGAGGAGCTTGGGTTAGTTCCAAACATCATTCATTACCATAAATGTGACAATGTTATAGAAGTTGGAACAGATTGTGATAGTAGTGAGGAAGAGGAAAATGGTGAAACTGTGTCTAACGACTACGATAGTGAAGAGTTGAAGAGTTATAAAAAGCAAAAAGAACTTGATATCAATGAAAAATTAGACAAGTACAAGGATTTGGAGTATGGTATGACCTTTAGCAATCTCAAGGAAGCTAAACAAGTTATAGACTTCTATGTTGTTGCAAATAAGAGGGATATTAGAGTAAAGAAAAGCGACAAAGGTAGAGTTACTTATTATTGTGTTCTTGATTGTCCCTTTCGATGCTCGATTTACAAGGATGGGAAAGATCAAGGTTTTAAGATCAAGACCTTAAATCAAGAACACACATGTTATGAGACTTCTGAGAACAGGAGAGGTAAAGCTGGGATTTTATCTCAATATTTTAAGAAGAAAGTTCAGAATAATCCTGCATTAAAGATTAAAGACATGAAGGAGCACTTGGATTCTGTTTTGGATCTTGAAGTGAATGAGTCAAAATTGAAGAGAGTTAAGAGGCTTGTCTTAGACAAATTAGATGGTAGTTACGCGGATGATTATAACAAGTTGGAGGCATACGCACAAGAATTGAGGATGAGTAATCCAGGAACTGATGTAGTGATCAATTTGTCAAGAGATGCTATGGAAGAAGGCAAAAGAAGATTTTTAAGGCTGTATATATGCTTTCAGGCATTAAAGGAAGGCTGGAAAGGAGGTTTGCGACCTTTTATAGGGCTAGATGGCACCTTTTTAAAAGGAAAAAGTAAGGGAATAATGTTGGTCGCAATGGGACAAGATTCGAGTAACCATTTCTATCCACTTGCTTGGGCCGTAGTAGATAAAGAAACTAAAAGAACTTGGAACTGGTTTCTAGAGCTGCTGAAACATTCTTTGGATTTAAAGTCGGGTGAAAATGTCACTTTTATATCAGATATGCAAAAGGTATCTTTACTTTAAGTTCATTTCATCTTTTCTTAGCTAGTTTTCATGTACATTATTCTGCAACTAATCTGAATTTATGTTTTTGAAGGGTTTATTGAATGCTGTTACTAATGTATGCCCACAAGCAAATCATCGATGGTGTGTTAGGCATATTGAAGCTAATTGGAGCAAAAATTACAGAAGTGGGGAGTTGAAAAAGCTTCTTTGATGGTGTGCTTGGAGTACATATGAGGAGGAGTTCAAAGATCAGCTGACAAAAATGGGTGAGTTGAATAAGAAGGCTGCTAAGTCTTTGGTGAGCTATCCACCAGAAAAATGGTGTAGAGCATATTTTGACACCAAATGCAAAAATTTCATGGTTGACAACAACTTCACGGAGTCCTTCAACTCATGGATTGTAGAGGCCAGACAAAAACCAATCATAAAGATGCTTGAAGAAATAAGGGTGAAGGTTAGAAAATTTAACCGTTTAAATTCCATAATAGCTGATTCCAGTAGCGTTTATAATGAAAAATTAATCCATTTGATCGCGCTTTTAATCTACTTTAAATCAAACTGCTAGTTTAGAGTAATAATCAAAATTTTAGATATTTGTTTTAAGGTGTTTTAAATTTCTGTTTTTTCAGTTCATGCAACATTAGTTGGTTCATTTTTTTTGTTTTCTATTATTGTTGTATAGGTAATGATCATGTTAAGGAAGCATGAGGCCGAAGTTAAAAGTTGGAAGAATGAGTTTTCACCACATGCAACGCATCTCTTTAATGACTACATGATCATTGCCCAACGATGTAAGGTTGAGTTTAATGGGGGCTGTGGATATGAAGTGACCAAGGGTGTGGATAGACATACAATCAATATAGAACTTAAAAGATGCTCATGCAGAGTATGGGACTTATCTGGAATACCATGTCCTCATGCCATCAAAGTATTTATCCATAAAAAAATTGACCCTATTACTGAAATACACTGGTGGTATTCTAAGGAAGCATATTTGATGGTATATAAGCACAAGATCGAACCTGTTAGAGGTGAAAATTTTTGGAAGATAGAGCCGCACCATGCCATGGAGCCCCCTACTTTATCTAAGATGGTTGGTAGACCAAAGATGAAGAGAACAAGAGAGAAGGATGAGGCTAAAAATAGGCAGGGGGTTTGGTCAGCTTCTAGAAAAGGAATGTTAATGACTTGTGGTTATTGTGGTAAACCAAATCATAACAGAAGAAAATGTCCATTGGTAACAATCGTAACTTCATAAATGTGTTCCCCTTTTGTATCTAACGATCATCATTTAATTTTTTTTTCTTTATGCAGCTCAATGATAAACACGAGGACGTCTTTCAAGATGAAGAAAACTCTCAAGAATCTCATAATGTGCCCTTGACAGAATCAGAAAACACTCAAGAAAGTGTATGTTTCTTCATTCCTGTTCCTGGTTCAAGTCAGATCTCTAGCCAGACCTCTATTGTAGCAGGGCATGATTCAGACCCTACTTTATATCCTAAAGTGGTGTCTGAAAGTAATTTTAGACTTCATGAAAGACTGAAGAAGATAAATACTGGGACAAGAAAGATAACTTTCCAGGGAGATCACGATGGTATATCAATACCGACCAACCTTCCATATTCACCAAAAAAAGTAACTTGGAAAGGGAAAGAAGCAATGACTTCGAACCAGTTACAAGCTACAAGGGAGAGAAAAATTGGCAAACTTAAGCCTATAGGGGGCAAGGGGATGTAGGATTTGTTTTGTATTTACTGTCTTAAGTGTTATGTAAGGAGAAAATGAAACAATGACTCCAAACAACTAGTGTTTTTGCTGATTTTTGTACTCTTAATGATTGTTACACAACTATCGTAATGACTCTAAAGAACTGATTCTTTTGCTGATTTTTGTACTCTTAATAGTTGTTAGACAACAATCGTAACGACTCCAAAGAGCTACCTTTCTAATATCAATATTGTTTAATTGTGACAGTTGTAGATTTGGTTTAGTTGTGTGTATTGTTGATTTGGTTTACTTGTCAAAAGTGTATTTTAGTATTATTATGTTATGTGGTTGAAAGTTGCAGAGAACTTAAACAATTAGGCAACCAACACTTTGTTCTTTGTTCTCCTTGTAAATCTCCTTTTATGGCTGCTCGGTGATAGAAGGTGCATCAGTCAACTGATAATACATCACGTAAGCCATATAACGTTGATCAAGACTTTGAGGCTCCTTTGGTAATAGTATGATCCAAGAATGAATCTGTCAACATTAGATGAAATCAAGATTTTACCAGTGAAGCATCTCCTCCTCTGTCAAAGTTTAAGCTATTATATGTCTTTTGTTAAATCTAGGTGTTTACAGAAAGAACCTATATGCATTGTGTATGGAACAGAGATTTCTCAGTTTGTCGAATGTGAGAATTTGAAAAAAACTGCATTGCTTCTTATATCATCACATTTGTTTTTGTTTTCCGTTATCGTTGGTTGAGAATGTACAAATCTTGATTGCCTGTCAAGCTCTAAAAGTGCAGTATTTACTTATGCATGATAAGAGTATTTAATTTCATTGCTAAGTAAGAAGTAGTTTAACCCCATCTTTTCTTTTACTTTTTAGATCTTGTCTAGTCTTACATGGATAGTACAATGACCAGACTACTTGATATGCAAAGAAACTAATGATGCAGTTCATCACACTGAAAACTAATCTTTGAACCCCTTCTAGTTGCCTTATTGAAGAGAATTTATTTTACTAGAGCGAACAATACTTTGAAGACTAAAATTTTCAAGAGCTCAGTCAATGAGGACAATTAAATGCATTTTTCTATGGATGGTCAAAGAAAATTCTAAATGAATGACAGTAGAGTTTTGATACTTTGAAGCAGTAAATATACAATAGGAACTTCCAAAAATTTCACTGCAAAACACCTACTATCAAATCCAAACTGTAGAGTACATTGAAAGTTGACATAGAGTCGAAAGTATATACATTTCTCATCTTAACACAACACATCTTTACAGTAACTAAATTTACGAAAGGAACTGTTTTGGGAAGTCATAAACAACTGTGTGACTAATCACACCTCCAGCTGACAACCAGAGGAGCACTTGAATAATCTTGATACTGAATGCTGTCACCTTTTCTCGCTAGTCTTGCTTCGAAAGGGAGATAACAAAGAGAGGCGAGTTGTATGCAAGTGTAAACACCTCAGTTCCTCATTCATCAATATAAATAATAAACATGTAAAACTTGCAGATAACATGAAATCTTACACTTCTGTGAAACATTGCCAGCAGTTGGGGTTTCATCTTGGGAGATCAAATTCTTCAAAGTGAAAACTGGAAGAGACAAGGTATAAGGTCAGTTTATAGATATTGACGAGCAACACGAGAGAACAAATTATTGTGGATTCCACACGTGAGGCGGCGTGTTGAGAATATAATAAAAGTATGTAAAAGTGTGCTCTCTCTTACAGCTTAAACCTTTAGATAAGACGGTCACACACTTTAACACATGAATTTCAATTGTGCAGATGGGATTAGAGCTAAGAATTCAGGATTAAATCAAAGTTGTCCATTGAGTCATCTAGAGTACATACACATCAAAGAAATCTTCCCAAAACTGTGCATGATGTTGAAAGACATGCCAGCCAAGAACTGCATCCCCCATTCTTCTCAACTGACAACCCAATAGTACTAATCCCCTACCCCTACACCACTCCTTTCCAATCACAAACAGTTCTCTATTAAACTCGTTTTCTTCTCTTTGTATATCTTATTTTACTTGTCCTCTTGTTCTCTGATTTTGATGCTCCCTATTTGGCAAAAAGTAACACGCAGTGCTAATTTAAGAATTTGGTGTCTAAGACCAAAACCAAGCAAAGACACCATCCCTGCCTGGCTGCAGGCTCAAATGATAGCTGGTCATAAACTTCATTTTTGGATTTATAAGAAAACTAATGTTATATTTTTGGATAAGAACATCTTTATAATGTAAAAAGGAAATGTGTCAATCGATGTTTTCCACTACGGCTATCAAATTAAGAGATCTTAAAGATCGTTACCTTCACTAGGCAAGGGAGCATTTGTGGCACTATCATCCTGCTTCATGCTATTCATGCTTGCACCATTTGATTCTGCTCCTCCAGAGGTGTGGTTCTTTTTTCCAAACCTCAGGAGGCGTTTAAAACCTTTTGGTGATTCCTTCACTTGAGTCCTTTCTGCAGCTTCTGGATTGTTATCTACTATAACAGTGTGAATATCAGGTGCATGAGCTTTGCCAATTTCTTTAACTGTTGATCCTATGTCTGAGCTAGATGGGAGTGCTTTAGCAAACTCCAAGTTTCTGGTACAAGGGTCCTCTACAGATGAGACACAAGCATACGGAGCACGATAAACAGTACTTCCGATATTTGCAAACTTGGGTGTGTCATCTGCACAATTCGTCCCTGTCTGCAAATATTAAAGGTGGAAGATTCAATTTCTTCTGTTCCATATGCACAGCTAATTCTTCTTTTCTTGTTTTTGAGAATGACAAATCTTGATGTAGTTTCTCCATCTTTTTCTTCCTGCAATTACCTAGAGAATGGAAAACATATGAATTGAAGGAGAAGAAAGAAGAGAACTAGAGCTAATGGAAACAAAAGACCCAAAAACGATCGGGTCAAATTTTTTCGAAATGGGTTTTTAGACTAAGTGGGTCATATATTTTGAAATGGGTAAAGAAAATCCATGTCACATTTGCCATGTCAGCCGGCTGTCAAAAAAGGGCAATTTTAAACCTTAAGAAAACGTTGAGGGCATTTTTAAACCAAAAGGTGGAAGGAGGGCATTTTTGAACCATTTGGAATACGTTAAGGGCATTTTTAACCCTTTTCCCTTTTTTTTATTTATTTTTAAATAAAATAAAATATGACGTTGATTTTTAAAATGAAAAAGTGGAAATGAAGAAAATAAATAAAAATAAAGAAACCATAAATTTAGTATTTTGTGTTTAAATGATACTATATAAATTAGAGTTGAAGGATTAAAATGGAACAAGACTAAGACTTCATTTGTTTGCACTTAATGGAGGTCTGAATCTTAATCATTCATATTCAGCCCAATAAGTGTGTTTGGTTTTTAGGTTTGAACCTTAATGATTCATCTTCAGCCCATTAAATCTATTTGTTTCTTTTTTCAAAAAGCTTCTTAAAAGATCTGAAAAGTTCTGAACGAATTAGATTTGTAGGAGAATCTTAACAACATTCAAACTTATTTAATAAGTTATAAAATAATACTAAATCGTTTCTCTCGGTTTTTGCATAACTTTTGCTCCCACAACTACAAACTTTCTTCCTCTCTTTTCTCAATCAAACACCAATATTTTCCTCTTAAACTGGTAAGTTTTCATAATCTTTACAAGTTTTTTTTTTATATTAATCATTTTCTTAGAGTGTATTGATGTTTGTCAAGAACACGTATTGCAATAATATTTTAGTGTATTGATGTTGATCAAGATTTTTGAGTGAAAAAAATACTATCCATAACTAAAAATAATAATTATGTATACATATTTGAGGTATTTTTTTATAATTGTCTTAGGCCAATAATTTTATTGAGACTCTTCGATAATCAAATCTATTTGTGAGATAACACTAAAATATTATTGTTGTTGAACTAGTTGGTGACAAAAATAGTGGAGCTCCTAAAAAAATTTCATCCCAATCTTCAGTTTCAGCTGGAAAAAAAAATTAGGGGAAGAAAAGAAAAACCTATTCGTCTCAATTGGAAATTGATGGATAATGCTTACTGCTTTAGAGTTATTGATTAAAAAAATAGTGCACCCACATTTGAAGAATAGATGAAAAAATGAGATGGACTTGAAATACATGTGTTATGGGAAAGTGACAGCTACAAAAAAGCATGAATGACGTTAAAGGATCACAAGTTAGAAAATTGGATTAAGGTTGGAAAAAAAGATAGGAATTCTTTAGTTTTTCTAATTCGTTAAAATATATGTTAGGCACTGATAATGTGATACCTTATTTTTTAGGAAAAAGGTAGAAGTACCTCCCTAGACTATGACCCAAATCTCAGAGACACACTTTAACTAAACTAAGGTCTTATTACCCCCTTGAACTCATTTTTTCTTGTAATTTTGTACACTTTTTGGCTTATGACATCTAAATATCTCCCACGCGCCTCAACTGCGTGGAGTCACGGGGTGTGCCACATAAGTCAAAAGGTGTACATTATTATATATAAAATGAGTTCAGAGGGGTAATGGGACCTTAGTTTAGTTAAGGTGTGTCTCTGAGATTTCGGTCATAGTCTAGAGGGGTACTTGTGCCTTCTCCCTATTTATTATTTTTCAACTAGTATCTATCATACTCATTGAACTGTTTGATATTATATTGTGCTTATAAAATATTATTTATTCGTGATTTTTTTTTATGTTATGTTGGATCATGATATTTTTTTAATAAAAAAGTAATATTTTTTTGTTGAAATGAAATTTTTATAACATTTTATCAATATAATGTTTGATTTCATATGCACATTCAGATACTAAAAACAAATAATCTTAATCATTCAGAGTTCAGATTTAAAGACAACATCTTAATATTCAGATGTGTATTCAGATCTAGACACTTAGATCTCAATGCAAATCTTAATATTCAGATATGTATTCAGATTTGGACCTCTTAATCTTAATGAAAACAAATGAGGCCTAAGTTAGCATGACAAAATGAAAAATATGGGCAAGTTAGAGGAGTTGTGTATGTGTTTTTAATTGATTTTTGTGTTATGTCATGACATGTGAAATACACACATCCCACTTTGTTGATTATTTGAAAAGAAGTGTCAAAATGAAACATAAAAACTGGAGTTGAAGGATTAAAACGAAACAAAATTGAGTTGAAATGTCAAAATAAAATTTAGGAAAAAGTTTAAAGGTCTGTATATATGTTTGACCAATTAGATATTAGTTGATAGTATGATGAATAAGTAAAACGTGAACATGTGATGACCCAATCTAACACGTGAATTGTGACATGGGGGTGGGCGTGGGGGGGGGGGGGGGGCGTTCTCAATTTAGTAAGCAAATGTCCTACATGTAATGACTGCATTTTGTTGGAATAGTAATATATAGGCCGCCTAATAAATATCCCATCTATTTTTGGCTATGATTTTGTTATTATATACCGATTGCGTCTAATAATAGTTGTCAATTATACTATTTTAAAATGTTCAATAATATTTATCTGATTTATGAAATTAATGGATAATTCTACATTTAGTTCCTAATTTATTTTTATTATATCTATTATATTTTTAAGGACATTATATTTATTATATTCAAAGGGTGATATAGTAAAATTACATTTTTATTTATAATTTTTTAAAAAGTGTGTAAAGTTAACAGTTGACAAATATTATTGGACGGAGGGATTACTTTTTCTTATTATAGAATTTTTTGATGATTTTTTTTATCGTAAAGCATGATAGCTTGCACGAACAACTATAGACACGATTGATAAATATTGTTCTTCTTACCCACATGATTCACTTTTAGTTGTTTTTATATCTTGAAAAAATATTCTAGTATCTTACAGGTAGAGGTAGAGTCAGTATTAGAAATTTGGGATTCTAAATTTTAGGATATAAGATAAAATATTTTCGAACTCAAAACACTAGTGTGGAAAGCATTTATGTGGCTCATTCCTTATCATTGAGTCGTCAATCAATTTTGTTACGGGTTCACAAGAGAACACACACACACACACACACACATATATATATATATATATATATATATATATTTCTAATACAAATACAACATAAAACTATTGAATTCGTTCGAACCTACGAACACTTACTTACTCCAACTCTACTCGCATGCATGCAAAAGGGGAAAAAAAGTGTAGAGTAATTTATTTATTTTCTTTTTAATCTTAAATTATTAACGATTGTGTAGAGATTTTGATAAAATTCATTCACTCATAATAGAGATTTTTGATTTGACCATAAATTTAAGAAAAATTCTAATATAAATTTGAATTAATCGATCAAATCCCAAATAAAATACCACTGTGAAATATATATAAAAAAAATAACGTAAGCGGTGACGACTTGAGGTTAAGAGTAGTTGGCACCACATTCGGCGGCCTTCAATTAACTTGTCAACTTTGGTCTTTTTAGACACAATAATAATTGTTTCGAATTTGTTTTTTTTTTACTGTGTTTTATTTGGTGCAAATCTATTAATCAAATTTTAATATAAATATTAAACATTAAATAAATAAATAAATAAAATTAAGAAAAGACCAATGATCATCACGATTTAGACGAGAGGGAGTTGCGAGTTCGAATCACCAAGGAAGCAAAAAGGGTGGGAGCTCCTAGGGGAGGGTTAAAAAAAATAAAAAAAATCATCACGATTTATGATTAAGGAGAGACATTGGGTATCTTTTTTTTGTTTGTTTGAAAAAATGAGATTGTAATATAATATGGCATGTCAACTAGAAGAGAATGAAGTTTTCATGGTTTTTAACATTTCTTTTAGGATAATAATAATAATAATAATAATATTTGAATTATAAAAAGAAATAAATGTAATTTTAGATAGACTTCACAATGAAGATTTAAGAAATTAACTCATTATTGATTTTAAATTGAAAGAGTGGGTTTTTAAATGTGTATATCTCTAACTTTTTCATACTTATTTTTCACACACTATTCAAAACACTAAATAATTATAATTTCAACTCCAAGTTGGAAAATTGTTTCGAACATGAGAAAAAAACACTTTTCTCTCCTTTTCTTTTTTTTGCAAAAATATTCAGCCAAATATAATTCGATATCTTCAATTTTAATTTCATAAATAAAATAAAAAATATTTAAAATATATAATCAAACGCCAACTAAATATGATACTGTAGAGAATGAGATTATGTTACGTATAAAAGTTAACAAATAATTTGTCCAAAATAATAGTCTACATTCAACAGAGCATAGACCACAAAATTGGAACTCGTTTTTAATCAAACGTCACTTCACTAAAATTTATTAATTTTATTTGTTGACAAGTCTTAATGCATTTATACATAATTTGAAAGTGAAGATGAAAGAAACTTTGTGGAAATTGTATGCGTTGTATATTACTTCGTTCGTTCCTTTTTATTTGTTATCTTCATATTCTTGAGAATCAATTTAACTAATTTCAGAATTGAACTGAATTTGAATAATTTTAAAAAATTTAAATTTATATATTCAAAAACTATATGAAAATTTTCATAAATTGCAATCTTTCTCATGTTAATTCAGCACTCTCGAAAACTCTATGAAAAAAAAATCAATATTTTGAAATTTAAATGTTAGATTGACATTCGAGAACCGAAATGTGACTAATAAGAAAATATAGAGGGAGTAATTTATTTCTTTTAAAGAATTTATTTAAAAGTTGAAAATTTGTGACTTAATTATGACTTGTGAGTAAAAACACGTACTCACAATTTTA